GAAGCCAAAAGCTCATATCAAGAGTAGTCCTCACAAATGTTTCACTGCAAAAGCAGGCCTCAGCATGATGGTGGAATGGTGGACAGTTGGATATCAACATTTTGACTCCAAGAATACTCATATGGACCACCGAATTGACCAATGGATCCTGTGTGGGAGTGGATCCTACTCATCCTGTTTGTTGGCTGCAAGTCCCAAAACTTCCAGCCAGGGAGAAAGACACCGATCTTGCTCGACACGCTGAATGAGTCGCAGGTGCAAGACATACTTCGGAATCTGTCTGAGGATGATACCAACTGGTACTTTGTGCCTCTACTTGAAGAAAGTGACACGGATTTATCAAGATATTCGCCACAGGTGAAGCGGCAGCTGGGAAAACTTGGCTCCTACATCTATGGTCCCAGCACGATCTACAGTGGTCACTGCCCTGCTTATGGCGAACACGAGAACGCCACCCAACGCCACCACGAAGGCATGAAAGACATGATTGAGTCACGTTTCGGATGGCTTCTGGACACAGTGCGGAGGAAGCTGGCAGAGGAGGCGGGCCCAAAGCCTCCAACCTAATAGCATCCTGATTGCATGGAAGACTGCTTCTTGTTTCTAATAGCGAACCTTGTTACTACTAGTAAGGCACTTGTTACTAGAAGCGATGCACTTGTTCCTAGTAGCTTCTTGTTTCTAATGTTCTTTGTATTTCTTTGTAATCTTTGTTTGTAATATGCACTGCCTGCAGTTCACTTGCTTCACTTTTTGCGCTCGCCGTCATTGGAAACGAGGTTTTATATTTTTCTAAGATTGACAGGTCTCAGATCCTGTGGAATGGATGTCATATCCATATATCAAGATGCACCGGGGTGATTCCTTGGACGCTTTGCCCTCCGAGTTTCGAGACTTGGCGCTGAAAGTGGCGCCGCCCCACCGTGACCAGCGGCTCGGAGTGGGAAACGGAGAGGTTCTCAGACAGGTTCAGGATATATAGGTCTTGGAACAGATCAGATAGGATAACTGGGAGAGCTACGCAAGTGATAGGATCCTTTTTTTTTCACGTGTTTTCATCAGCTGATAGAGTAGTTATATAATACTATATTGTATTATATAGAGGCTGATGGCTGATGGATGCTGATGGATTACAGGCTGTTTGCACTGGCTTTGCAGAAGCTCATGCTTGGTGATAACTGCATTTTGCTGGCTGCATCGCTTCACCTTCTTCACCGGATTTCTTTGAACCCTTCTTCTGCCGGATTTCCGGGAGTTGTGAAATCCCGATCATGTCCTACTCCACCCAAAGTCATTGTTTTGATCTGAGGCAATTCATGTCCTACGTCCCCAAAGAGCAGCAGCCCTTTGCGCAGACTTTGACCTTCACACTGCCCATCCAAGTGCCCAGTGGTGGTGCAGGTTTGCGCTGCTTCGATGCTTTTCTGGACAAGCCCAGCGGGAAGCTGCTCAGCCAACAGGCCATGTACTGACTTTGGTCAGTTTGTACTCATTTCAAACATTCCTTTTCCCAAATGCATCGACGAAACATGAACTCATGAAGGTTCACGGATAATTAATAAGTTGGTATATTGATGATAATAAGATGGTTCTTCATAATCCAAAGCCTTCAAGCAAGTCTCTAAAGAAGCGAGCAGACTCTCCTGCGTGCAGGGCCAAGAGCTTCCAAGAACTGGACAAGCATATCAGCAGCTCGTGAGCCACTTGCCCTATGAAGATGTCGTTTACCTTCCTGGGCGGATGCTACTTTTCTCCGGGGACCAGCTACACGCAGTAAGTCCATACAAGAATCCTATCTCCTCGGATCGGCGCATTGTGCTACAAGGACATGGGATCTTCCAGGAAGGAGTCTGGAAGCTCTTTGGATGACCAAGATGGCGTTTGGACTCAATCGCAAAAGCTTCAAGAATTTGTTAGAAGGTTTGTAGAGCTTTTCTGGCCAAAGACGCCAGCTACTCGTAGGTCTTTGTCGTGCGAAAAAAATGTGATTTTTGGGAGACGCACGGTCTGCTGAGGGAAGCAGGTTGAGGGTCATGGCCTTCTGCTAGTGCGTTCCTTTGCGCAGGTGGCCTCTCTGCAAGCTTTACTCGTCCCTTTGCTGGGGAGCAACAGGTGAGATTTTGTAGCTGAGCATGTGGCACACCGGCAAAGGGCTTATTTTTGGCATGTCAAGTTATCAAGTTTAGCCAGGTGGACTTGGACCCGTTGGACGGCCAGCCAATTGGATGTACATTTACAGTCACCTGGCCTATCCAAAGGTGGTGACCAGGTTCGGGTTCGTGGTATGTCGCAGTTGTCCATGCACTGCTCGGGCTGAGATCTGAGTGAGATCCTGTTTGAGCAATAAGGTCATGACCAACATGCAGTCGAAGTCCTCTTAGTTGGTCCGGCCAGTTCCCCAGTTTGCCAAGATCGTTCACGTAAAATCCGCGTCCGCTTTCCAAGGTCTTGCCCTCATAGATTTGCCGGCAAGCGTTTCACTTTGAGCAGTTCGCATTGTTGAGCACTGCATTCCGATCACCATTCAAGCAGCATTTTGACATGTTTGGTTCGATTCTTCCTAACTCTATCCATGAATCACCATTCCATGCTCCTTGCTTTGTTGATATTGCATCGCGTAGAAAAGGCCATGTCGGATGCTGTACGTAGCCTTGGTTGAAAGCCTTGATTGGTGTTGATCTAATGCGCTGAAGGCAGTTTGCGCACTGTCAGAATCGCCAGCTAGTCAAGATGTTGTGACTCTAAAATCGGCTCGAGATTAGTTCCTCTATCAGTTGCTCATATCCTTTTTAACTTACCAACAACGACTTTCAAGTCAAAAGCGAAAGTTCTTTGGGTGTCCCGACATGGATGCGACATGTGGGTGGATATTCTATGATATTCTCCTTCAAGTCCACTCTTTGCTTTGAACCTGTAGATCATAGGCAGCTTTTTTGGCGGCATGGCGTTGTCCTTGCCCCTCGCTTTTTGCTGGATGTTCCTTCCAGCTGTGTTTGGCTTATGACTTTTTCCACACAGCTTCGCTGTCAGCTTCACTGTCTGCTTCGCTGTGTTGTGTTTCTTGCATTTTTCGTGGAAGTCACCTCGGAGCCTTCCTGGGTCCTCTGGACTGACCTCAATGGCGCAGACTTCTTTTGGACCTCGAGCAACTGCTCCACCATGGTTTTACCTGACTCTGGAATTGCTGGGAACAGCGCACCTCTTCCTCCGGCCAATGGTGGTATCAGTGATATGCTTTTCTTTCCAGACACACATGAGCTTCTTTGGCTGGAAGGTGGCCGGCTGCTCCGCTCCTGGATGGACAAAACCCAACGCCGTGAGCTCGCAGTCTTACCTGGAGATGCCAATGTGTCTGAGCTACTGAATGTCACTGGGAACGGCCCAAGCTTGGGCTCTCACGGTGAAGATGGGGCAATTGCTTGGACACAGCAGGACTCAACGGCCGTGATTCTCTTTGCGTCACTGGTGACCAAGAAGCTGTGGATTGCAAGTCTTTCATCAATTCCACCCCGAGAACCTTCTCATGTTGGGCCTTGGCTTCAGGTGCCTGGTGCAACTATCGAAAGCAGCAAACCAGATGCATCAGGAGCTCCACTCCTGTTAGCCAGTGATGGCACTGTTTACTGGACTGATGCTCTCCACTTCCGTTCCTGGACTGCTTCCGCTGCCCTCCAGGCAGCTTCTGAGAACCCCACGTCCCAGTCTGCTGCTTTGGCGAACTTGACTGAATGGGGCGAAGTCCTCTTAGCACAACGCACCGGCGATGGTGGCCTACTGTGGGTTCGACGGCCTCCCACGGCCGCTCGTTGGCGATTGGAGCTGATCCTTCGCCCGGATTTGTTGCACCTCGGACCCAACGACAACTTGGCGGATGAAAACGTGCGGAGTCTACACGAATTTCTGGAAGGTGATCTTCCGTCAGGGCTGGCGGTGCCACCGAATCCAGGGCCTGGATTGCCGTACAGAGGTAATTTGACTCGGCTTTTTCAGCAGGTCTATTGGTCGATCTCCGGGCCGGAGACGCAAGCCCGAATTGAATCTTGGCTCTTTGGGAACTTTTTTGGGATCGCCATAGAAGTCTGGCCATTTCACATGGGAGATCTCAGAGTCATTTTCTGATATTTCTAAGGATCATTTAGACATGGAGACTGGGAAGATCTCCACTTTATCGTATGCTGCTGGTCTGGAACGTCGTGGTGCCATGACCGTGCGGCCAGGTGCTCTTAGCCACTCGCTCCAAATGGTGGCGCGAAAGGAAACAGGGTTGACGAGACAAACAGACAGGCAGTTCGTTTCAGGCATATCTCACTTGCTATGACTTCTACAGTACGACACATTTAAGTCAAGTTTCCCCAAAAATCTCTAGTAAGTTGGAGGCCATCGCTAGTAGAAACAACTTAAAAAGGAAGAATGGTCATCTAGGAACCAAATCATTAAGTCTGGGCCCTCTTCTGCGTCCAAGCATGTCCAAGCCCTGCCGCGCTGCTTACTAGTGACAGTAGCTCACCTACTCAGCCTAGTAGCCTACCCTGCCTGGCACCCCATAAAGACCAAACACTTCGTTTTTCTTCCAAAAGGCGTTCGAGTTAGTTCCGGCCAGCCGGGGTCTTTGGAAGGGTGGCGTCCAATAGTATGGTCAGTTTAAATACCCTATACAGCTGCATCAAACTGATGCACAATGAGGTATTTATCCAATGCCAGAAGTTTGTGTAAATGTTGCCTGGCAGCAATCACTGGCACCTTTGGTTTCTGTCTTGGTGATTTCTTTGCGTGGCTTGAGGTCGGGTGCCTCTACTTGAGAGTTTGGGAAGAATGCAGGATTTGTACGGAAGATCAATGTGACACGTGCTTCCTTGATACTCAGGACTGCGACTCGAACACATGTCAGCTCTAAGAACACGGGGTCGTCACTCGACCTTTCGGGCCGTCGTCGGGCTCTCCCGTGTGGCCGAAGGACTGGGTTGTGAAGCAATGGTACTCCTCGCATGGCCTCTTCTCAAATTGCCTTTGGCTTTGGCCTGCTGATCAGGCGTGAAGTCGGGTTTGTTCCTTTCAACAGGTCTTGACAGGAAAGTTCATCAGAATGTCAGAATGTTATGACACATGTATACACATGTCATGAAACATGTTATGAAAAATAATGCTAATTTACTGCCTTGGCCACGCCGAGTTGCTTCTACATTCTAGGCGGCCTGGTTTGTCCGCACCGAAGTGCAGCAAGCCAAAGAGAAAGGGCTTTTGCCCGATGATTTTGTGGCTCAGGACGAAACGCATATAAATAATTTAACCATATATATATATACACATAATATATATACAGCATATATATATATATGTACGTATCAAATAAATGGATTCCAGGGAAAGCCCCCTCGAGCTGAAGCTTAATGCAGTTCGTCTTCAGCTTTTCTCAAGAAGTTGAAGAGCTGCGGAGCACAGTGTACTTACCTTTCATGCACAGTGCACTTACCTTCATTTGGAGAAAAGGATTTGACAGTTGACATGTTCCTTTTGAAGGGATGCAAGCACTCGACACCAACAGCTTTCTGTCTTGATTTGCTCAACCTCTCTAGGAGCTTCCACCTGAAGGAGCTACTCCCCCGAGCGCTGTAGCGACGGTGCCTCTGCTGAATCTGCTTCAGGGTTATCCAGAAGAGTTGCATCAAACCTGCAGTTTATGTGGCACCAAATTCTGGAAAGCATTGCAGTCCATCGGCCATCCCTTGAAGGGGGAGGATATGCCAGAATTAGGAGGTTTTCCAGCAACAGTAATTACATCCTGTGATAGACGAAATGAAAAGCTATGACTCTGTAGCCATCGTGTGATGTCGCAAGTTATGGTGCTATCACCAAGGTTCCACCTACGGTCACTATCACGACCGCAACACCCACGGCGACTGCTTCAACGTCCACCTTTACCATGACTTCGACCACCAGCACATCAATGACACTCTCCATGACCAATCCTTGCATAGCACTTGAGCCGCCAGAAGGAGATCACAGTCGCATAGATCACCCTTGGAGTTCCATCAGATGTGGCCAAGTCAAGCCTGTCAACTTACTGTAAGTTAAGTGTGTCCCAGGACTGCTGCCGGATGAGACATGCAGCGATATGGTGAATGCTTGGTGTCAGGCAGGTCCAACTTTCTGCAACTGCTTCTGAACGACCCTGGTGGGCCTTTGATGTGCCTGACCATTTTCTCACCCGAGTCTGACCCTGAAGGACTTGTCGATCAACAGCAGTATGCCACATGCAATTGCACCAAGCACTCTACGCCGAGATTGTGCAACGTATCCATGGACCTTCAAGGCACTCTGCAATCCACAGACGGCGCCAACTGCCCTGGCGCCTTCAAACTGCGAGCAGCCCCTGTGGAGCTATGCGCTACTTGCCGCAGGTACAAGAACTTGGTCCACAAGATGCTCAAGTAGGGAAGGTCAACCAAATGAGCTGTTGAGCACCTCTGATTCAGATGATAGCACTTACACTACTTCTATCCAAAGTTAAGATGATAGCAATTACTTGCCTCATGAGTTCTGGCTTCACAATGTGGATGTTCCAAACCTGCCACCCGCAGGCATCGCGCTGATCCTCTCTACGATTGTGCCATTCTTTTGGTGCGCCAGCATGCGGAGGTGGGCCTTGGAGGGTGTGTTTGCTTTTCGCGACAGCACGGCAGAGTCGGGTTTTCCACACTGGTACGACAGGATGTTGACGAGACACCACGGAACCACATGGATCCACATTGTGTCACCATGTGTCATGCGTCAGCTCTGTCGGCTTGCCCCAACACAGGAGGCGGGGCCGCGGCACTGTGAGTGACCTCCCCAGCGGCCTGCGGCTGCGGGAGGCAGCCTGGGCAGAGAAAGTACCAGGCCGAGGACTTCTGTGACATTTTAATATTTAAGTATATGGCTTTATATGGCGTGATGAGTTGTCTTGGATCGTCTTTGATGGCCATATTTGCAGAATCTTCAACAGCTAGGCTACGCCTCAGGCGCTATGGAGCCCTAGTTTCTTTGATCCGTTAGAAGTGTGCACCAGTCAACTTGCAGGAGCCTCAAACCTTGCGCCGAGTGCATCCGAGCAAGCCGAGTCCGGGCATTCGACAAAGACTCCCTGGTGGGACTTCCGTCAACGATGGAACGCATACGTGAAGAGGATACTCAGGGCTACCGACCTTTGCTGCCTACCTGAGGCTACGAGGTTTTCTTGAGCCACACCATTCACCATTTTGAGCCATACCTAGTAACAAGTGCATCGCTACTAGTAACAAGTGCCTTACTAGTAGTAACAAGGACGCTACTAGTAACAAAGGGCTTTGCAAGTCTTGCACTAACATTGGCGGCTTACCTTGCTTCTTACTGCACCAGGCCGAATAGCTTCCAATTCAGATTCCCCTAAGTACCTACTGAACGTGTGGTCCAAATCCTTCCCAAAAGACCCCGAACAAGCGACTCCGAAACAGGGACTCCGAAATCGAGAGGGTCAGTGGAGGGTGAAGGCGCTTGACTAGAATTAAATCAATAATAATCAAAAATAATAGCTTCTTGTTACTACTAGTGAGGCACCTGTTACTAGAAGCGATGCACTTGTTTCTAATAGCTTCTTGACCCAAGGTCTTTAAAAGGGGAAAGGGACTGACGCGGGAGGAAAGCTGCACGGGGACAATTGTTCTGATTGCCTGCGAGGAGCAAGCAGTCGAAGCGGTGTTGCTGCAGACGACATGAGAGAATTCTGAAGGCAATTCTGGCTGCATTGATTTGTTTTGACAGGTGGGGTGGTGAATTGTTGTGGTAGGTTCAAGTAGGTCCTTCTTTCCACAGAAGAACAGCTACTGTAAATTGCTTTGTGCAATCCTTTTCAATCCTCTTGAATCCCTGGTCACCCAACACAGGTGGAGAGCCCGGAGAAGTCTTGGGAGGTTGGGAAGAAGGAAACGGGGCAGCAGAGGATCAAGATGGATCAATTAGAATTCTAATGAATTCTATGAACTACTGTAACTATAATTGAGAAGAACTGAGCTTGGGATATCCTCGGCTGCTTGAAGAGCAAGGCATGCTGAAGTTTTTCATGAACTCATATAAACTCAGCATGCCGAGCTCTCCGCCTTAACTGCCATGTCAAGCATGGTTGTTTTGGAAGGTTGAACAGGTGGACACCGAAACACCTCCAGATACGACCATGAGCATTGGCAGCCCCAGACCGAGTGGAGAGCTAAGCCGAGCAGGTCTACAAACCAAACAGGTACTTGAAGTGCAGCACCTTCAGCAGGAATGTTTTGTCAATTCCTCTGCAACGAGCATAGTCTCTAGATGTGTTTAGAGTTTAGAGAGCAAGAGTTCGGTTTCAAGAGGTGCGGATGATTCGGCCTTGGACTTGGAATAAGCTTTGAATGCCTTTTTGTCACACTGGAATCGTGGGCGGAGTGCTCACCAGTTGATTCGTTAGATAGGACATGGGGCATGCGGAACATGGTTTGCTCAGTTTTGTTTGAGGTGCCACCGCAGGCTGCATCTGTGCAACAGATCCTCAAGGGCACCTGGCAGCCTGGAACCACATGTTGTTGTGTTGTGTGTTGTATTCGTGCCGCTGAAGAGCTCTTGCATGTCCACGAAGGATTGAGTGTCCTTGTTCAACCGGTAACCCAAGAGTGTCTTAGATCTGATCATGGCGAGTACAAAAGAAAAGAGAAGGAACGGAAAACCCACAGGTCCACTGAAGACAAAGGAAACGAAGCAAGACCTTTCTTGGCAACCAAATGAGATCCAAAGATTCATGTGTAGCACTTCGGCAGCTCTCAGAGGCCAATGTTTGAAGGCTAGACGCGCGTCTGGGTTTGTTCGGAAACGATCGGGGCACTCGGACACGACGCGCTCGGACACGTCGTGGTCTGAGGCCGGGCCTCAGTACTTTGAGTGCTGCTGCGGCAGCAGGGCGTCTCACAGATGCCATGCAACTTGACTCTTTTCAGTTCAGCGTAACAATCATACCATGGTATGAACCATTGTAAAAACCTCTGTAATCAAACAAGAGGATTCACAAACTCAGGAGGTCCATCGAGTAAGTCTTCACTTTCCTCTTTGAATCTTGCACAATTCAGTTGATACCAAGTACCAACACTTTCAGGAGCTCATTGCTGCCAAAGGGACACAAACGTTCTAGTTCCCGGAGGACAGAGTACAAGAGATTGTAAAAAAGCTTTGTCCATAGGGATGTTATGTGTGGCTGTCGCTGTAAGCCTGGGACGTCCTTTGGAACAGTTTTCATCAGATCTTCAAACATAACGATCAAACATGCAGAGCTGTTGGTGTGTGAAGCACCAGAGAAAGTCGCACTTTGCTCAGCTCGGGCTGAGGCGCAAGTTCATGTTGCCTGGTGCTCGTCAGGCCAAGAGGGAACTGCAGAAATAGCACACATCACACTGTGTTTGGTAGACTTGATGCAGGCAGATAAATGGCGCTTGCTGCATGATGTGGAAGACATCCTTCGCACACTGGGCAGTGCATCGTGCTGAAATGTTTGAGCAGAATCCTACTGTTGTGTTTCTTCTTGAAATGCTCCTTTCTCTTGAGTTTATATAATTATTTTTTTTGTCCGGCTCATTCCTTAGCTGTCTTTTTGGTGCCCAGAAATGCTACAAGGCCTTGCCCGCCAACCTCCGCAGTGCAGCCTGGGCCTGGTGGGCGTCTCAGAAGTGACAAGAGCCACGCGGCAACGCGCAATGCCATCACATGTTGGGCAGTTTAGAAGCCATCTCGGATTCAGACTTTTAAGATCTTTTAAGATCTTTAGACAGAGAATGTTCAATCCGTTCAACCTGAAAGACAGCTATGGGTCGTATTGGGTTTCATGGCCAGCCGTGGCAGCAGCAAGGCACGCAAGGCAGACTGGACGACTGCACCGAAGCTCAGCGCTGGAAACCGCTCAAGAGGAGGTACGAGACCTGTCGGAGACTGGTCCGAGCGATGTCCGAGAGAGCTTTCGTCTGGAAAGACATGAACCCTGAAGTTAACCTGTATATCACATGCTCTCGAAGAATTCCGAGCATTAAGATTTCTTCAATGCAAATGCACATGTATTTGTTCCATTCGTTTGTTGGATTGTTGAAACATCATCCGTCGCTCAGACAATACATCTCAGGAGTTTGGGGAGACTACAGGCTACACCTTAATATGATTATGTACCGACCATACCAATCTTTTGCATTCAGCTTGCGATATCGCAGTCTCCCAAGTTGTCGATCCAGGCGAGGTCAATTGCAGAGGACTTTCGAGAGGACTGCTTGGCTATTTGTTCCGTTCGCCCGACTGAGATGTCGTCGAACGCTGCTGGCGACATCTAGTGAACATTTGTTCGCTGTTTGGGAGTTGCCAAGTCGTTCACTCGTTCCCCTCAGACAATCCAGTGGTCCTTGTAGAATCATGTAGAAATTACAGTTTTAACCCGCGCGAAAGGTTTCACATCAGCAGTGCGGGGACACAACAAAATCTCCAGAACCCGGGTGTGAGAACCGACCAAGTCGGAAGATCATTTCAACCTCTGCTACTAGGAACAAGAAGCTGGTGGAGGCAATCGCTAGTAGGTTGGAGGCCATCGCTACTAGGAACAAGAAGCTACTAGGGCGAGGCCGCTTGGCTTCCAGGATCTCTCAAGGCGTTTGCAGAATGGTGTACGTCAATTGGAAGCTACTGCACTAGAAGGAGCGGGCCGCTTCGAAACCATCGCAAGTCCAAGACATAATCCAAGACGTAACGGAGCCAATCCAGCCATCAAACAGGGCTTGTGAAATAGCTGCATCTCCTATCACGTGGCTGCTGTGGCTGATGAATAGAATCCGGTCAAGGCAGGTCGACAGCAGAGGTTGCAGTTGTGCCAAACAGCAGGAATTGATGATGTCCAAGATTTTCAGAGAGCTCCCGGTCCCAAGAGCCTGGAACTGAGGAAACAGGTCTGCATGAAACAGGTCAAACTCAGTTCGAAACAGGTCAAACTCGGTGAGAGATGAAGATGAGACAGACCATTCTCTGACAGCTTTTAGCTGCTCCTCCGCTCCGCGCAAGGCTTGCAGAAAGCTTTGAAGCTTCAAGATGCCTTGGAGAAGCTAAAGATCAGGAGCAAAGACTTCGGCAGTCTTTCCATCCTGTCGGTATGACTTGTTTTTTCCAAAATCACACAAAAACCTTGCCCTCTCTTCTTTTCCGAATGATTGACACTCACGTGGCTTGCCGAACAGCGCTCAGAATGCCTGAGTCCAAGATATGACAAGCTTCGCAAAGCCAGGCTAGTGCATGGTATGGTTTGTTTCATAGACACGGCACGCGGCAGGATGGAACAAGTTGATGAAGGAGATAGCTCGCAGGGCACTCAATCTTTGGACACCCTTTCAAACTGAGTGGGAGATAAAACATGATAAAACGCACTTTGCATATTCAGAAATTTGTTGCAATGCCGCAATGCGTTTTAGAGTCCCATCACTTCAGTTCATTTGAGGATCAATGCTGCGCATTTGCTGGATTGCTATCAAACCTTGATGCGCCTCAAGAAGGACAGCAATCTGTAGATCTTTGATGATACTATGTTTGCAAATCAAGATGGATATTCTTGGAGATGTGAGACTTTAAGATCTGAGATCACATCTCCCTTCCAAATCGTCGATCTCCGTCAGGATGCCGAGAAGAGTAGCGCCGTCGGCTCAGAATCCATCCGGCTCGACCGACCGTTCGACCACCCGCTTGCGGAGGCCAACGATGGTGCAGGCCAACGAGGCCAACGGTCGACCTGTCTCAACTGACGCCCGCGGAGTCCGGTCGACCACACCTGTGAGGTCCTGAGACTTCCAATCTATGGGATGCACTGGCGCAGGAGAGCCCGAATTCTTCGAATTCAGCCGGAGAAAGAGATAGGTCGAAAAAGACGTTCCTGTGTGACTTGAAGGGAGTGTTTTGACAGGAGATTGGAGATGTCCAAGAGGTCTGGATTTTGGGCATGGACGTGTTCAAGCCTGACATCACAAAGAATCTAGAGAATATGGTTGTTCTTTGAACGCGTTTCCGAGAAGGGTCACGGGCCTGTTGTCAGGTCAGTTATGCGTAGCATTCTTTAGGCTTGTCAGGCCTTGTCTTTTGTGGCAGGCCTTGCAAGCAAAGCTTGAGGAAAGCGGTGTTCCTTCAGGACAGTTTGTCCCCTAGGGAGTCAGGGGTCACTGCCAACGCTCCGTACGCTTGGAGGATCGCTTCATCTTCGCGAGTCAGACGAAGATGAGTTGGGTTTCTCAGAGACTTTCTTCATCTTTCTTCCCTTCGCCAAGAAGGAGGTGCACGACATTGCAAGACGATGATTGAGAGGGTCATCGTCTCGAGCTCGACATTTGAGCTGAGGAATGGGACAGGAGGCCAGGGAGGCCAACAGCAGTCACGCAAGCCGGAGGCGCTTGGGATTGAGCTGGACGGAGCCAATTTCATTTAACCCAATGGACGGAGCACTTCTCCGTGGCTTTGAGGCCCAGGGGTGGCTGAAAGGTCTCAAGGACGCGGCACGAAGGGCTGCCACCTTTGCGCAAAAGTTGAAGGAGCTCTCACGGAAGGCCAGGGGAACTACAGAGTCTCACGATGTCTCATGCAGAAGCGCAGACCAGGGAGAGGGAGAACATGGGAGAACGTCACTAGTTGTTGGTGGGAAAACAGGGGATCGACCAAATTAGTTGAGACCACGTGGCAGGACAAGGAAAAGCTTGAGGAGATGGAGAAGAAGCTTTTGGCTGAACTGGAGTCCTGCGAGGCCACAGAATACGCATGTTTCGCATGATACTGAAGCATTGCTTGAGCAGTAAACACTGAACTGAACCACAAAAAGTGCCTTTTACAGTAGATCCTTTCAATTGGAAGCACTTTTGAAAGACTGAGAGATCGATGTCGACATGGTCGTTGCTCCTTCTGCTCCTTCTCTGACTTGTTTTGATTAATTATTCTACTTGTTCTTGAAACGTGTCTGGGGGCCTTTGTTGTGGTGTGTTGAGATTTAGCGCAGGATGCAGCAGCAAGAGCAGGAGGCGGGTTGCAGAAGCCATTGCGTATTCAATTGCTTTGGAGTGCGCAAGCATGAATTTGCAGGAGACTCGCGAGAGAGCACAAACTGGAGGCCTCTCGAAAGACGTTGCCAACATTTTGCGAAGCTGTTCTCTGAGCGCAGCAAGGCAACTACAGAATTCGTGGTCACAGTTGCGCGACGAACTGGAGCAGGCGATTGTTGGGGGTGAAGAACCATGAAGAACCTGCATATGCCCTCAGCAATATGATCGATCCAAATGCACAGGCATAACACAGATCCCAAATGGTCCAAATTGGTATTGACATGATACGTAACGTGTCGCTGTGCTGTCTTCATCCGCACGGTACGCTGTCTGAGCAAAATCATAGAGAAGCTTGGACGTCTCAGTGCAGGTGCGGCAGGCACCAGAGGACACAGGGGAGAAAAGAGGCGGCCGCTTGTCAAGCTGGAGCCTCAATGCAAGCTTTGTTGCAACGAAGCTCCCAGCACAATGAAATGTGGCTGGCAAAACGCTTGGGATGTTCGAAAAACAAAAAAACACCTTCAGTAGTGCGCCGCAACGTTTCTTGGCCTTGTGCTTTCCGACCTTCAGGCTGGGCCCGAGGTCGCTCCAAAATGTCCGACATCCGAGAGAGTGGAAGCTCTTCCCACTGCCATGGTCAATTTGAGTAAGACCAAACTCTCAGGATGCCAAAACGAAGCCAAACCCAGCCGCTGCAGACGCAGGACGATTTGGGATGATCCAGTCGATATTCCTTGAGAGCGAATCAAGTTCACCTGCCTCACAGGAGCTCAGTCCAGAGCTGACAGCCTCATCCGCGCAGCTGGCAATGCTGGAGGAGAACTTAGAGCTGGCTACTCAAGCAGAAGGGAAAGAGTGTGGTCGGGAGATGTAGCCACGGTTTCTGTTTGGACGTGCTAGTTTCCTTTTTGAGGCGGCTGCGGAACAATTTCAGGACATCAACCATGAGCTTGAAGGTACGCAGCATACACAGCCCACCGGCCACACAGTTTTGACAAACCCTTCCAAGCCATTCTGAAGGGAGCGAGATCAGGCCAGAGTGGATGGTCTCTAGATGACTCTTGCAAAACAGAGACCCTTTTGTGGAGAGCTCTGCGTCACAGGAAGGAAAGGTCTCATCAGGTCTCAGCAGATATTTTTGCACCAGTAGCATTTTACTACTTCCCGGCTGCACATGGGACAGCGTTTATGTTTGTTGTGCATGCACACTTGAGATATCTTGAACTTGAGATCACATGATGTTTGAGTTTTTTGGTGCATCCAAACTGGTACGTCACTTGCTATCGATCATGCAGTATCATCCTTCCTATGAGCCTTATGAATCCTTATGAATCCTTATGGTATCTTCTGGTCAATCTGAGCCTAAGAACTATAGTTCTAACTTGTTCTAACTTGTTCTAACTTGTATGAGTTTGCAGGGAAAGTCGGAGAGAGATCAACGACTTCTGATGGCCGGATGGCAAGAACTACAGCAACAGGACCGGGTCGTTCCCACCAACGGGTTGCTTCATCGAGTTCACACGTGGCATCGCCCAGGAGTTGACCAAGCTTCTGGAGGCCGTGAAGTCCGCGGAGGCCCTGCTGGGAGATGAAGAGCCTCTAGTACCGCGCTCGGAGCCTTCAGACCCACTCAAGAATAGCCTCCAACCCAAAAGCAACGGCCTCCAAATCACTTCAACACCAGCACACTGCTCAAGTCATGCGTTGCTCAATGTGGCTCATCTCAGCAAGATTCTTTTGTCCTGAGGCTGGCCACTCTGTCCGCAGCCAGTGGCAACGGCTGCGAGCTGAATTGGAGGAGCTGTTTCAGTGACTCAGTCCAGCGTGCTAGTGACTCAGTCGTGCGACGTTCGACAGGATGAGCTTCAAATGTCGACACTTGGCTCGTCGCAGGGCACTAAGTATCTTCAGCATATTAGGTTGAAGGCTATCACTTTTAGGTTGGAGGCCTTCGCTAGTAGGTTGGAGGCCATTGCGGATTTAAAGAACATGTGGTCACTCTCTTTGAACTTGTTGCTGTTGGTCTATCCATGGCGCTGCCTATTCAGTCGCTGCAATTAGAAATGATGCAGAGACCGGCGGCTTTGGTCTTGACTGCAACAATGTTGACTGGTAATCTCTTGTTATACTTCAGGAGGAACCATGTTCTTCTTCTTACCGGGTTTTGCAACATCTATATGTAATATATAAATATATACATATACAAATGGATCAGCCGCGGTCGCATAAAGTCCATTTTGTGTGGCCAGCGTGGGAAAGTCACTTGTAATGCCTTTTTCTATTTATCTATAAGACAAGAACTGCTTTGGAGGGAGGCAATTCAACCTCGTGAGGGAGGTGACACAAGTGTCTAAGGGGACGGGGTTGTCAATTGTGAAGATAGTCCTAGCGTGCACTAACTGGTGGGCATGCGGTGGCTTTGTCAATACGGGTTCTGCAGGTGCTGTGTTACAACAACGCAGACACCAAAGCTTTCGAAGGTGGGTCGGTGTGGCTAAGGCAAACGCTCGTAAGCCCGTCTGCAGGTGGGACACAACAGGGTTGCTACCTTTCATATCTTTGAATCGAAGAAGCTGTGGGACACCTTTGTCTTCAGGTCGCTTGTCCTTAGGCATCGGATCCCGACTCTCCCCCAAGAAACCTGTCAGACGCTTAGAGCAGAGTGACGGCCGAGCGACCCCGGTCGCTCACAGTCTTTGCCCTGCTCCGTGCAAGGCGCCGAACTTGCAGGAGCCTCAGAAGCCTCAAGTCTCAGAATTGGTTGAAGGGAAACCATGGTTTCATCCCCAAACTTACAGGTTTCCTGTAGATTTTCCCTGAAACCAATGCTGACATCAAGAGGGCAGCTTCGTGCCTCAGCTTAGCCTCAGCTTTTCGCTCAGGGGCATTCCGAAAGAGATTGCAGAGGCTGCTGGCAGCTTCGTGCCGCTGAGCTACGTTGGACTCTGCTCTCTTATTTAAGTGTTGGTCACAGGTCAACTTCACTCCAATGCACATGCAGCCACCGGGTTTGGGCTTCAAACAAAGAGATTCAAGCAAGTTGCGAAAAGCTACACCTAGGCCACACAAACAGGCAACCCATGAACTCCACACTTTGGATTCGCGGAAATGAGCCCATATTGAGATCTTCGATCTCAGGCAATGCTCTGAGGAGTTTGCGAAGCTTCAGCCTTTGCTGCTATTGCCTTGGCGGATCATTGATGGAGGTATCCGAAGATATCCGAAGTAAAATCTGAGAATTTTGTCCAAAGCTTTTCAAGACTGAAACTAATTACATGAGCTGAGGTCTCAATCAGAGGAGGGTAGCCCCATGTGGCTTGGTAGCAACAAGTCTGAGGTCTCCCAATGTGGATTTGTTTGATCTATCAGAATAGGCATCCTACATTGGAGTAAGCAGAACTGAGTTGAAGAGTGTGTCTCTTCCGGTGTCAGAAGCACGCCAGTCCTTGGCGCATTGCCCCATGTGAGGCTAAGATTGGGACAAACGATCTTCGTACAGGAGGCACAATGAATAGCTCCAATGCTTTTGCTTTTGGTGCTTTGGGTGCGTCCAATAGGCTTCGGTGTCTTGACTAATTGAACAACTTGATTTAAACCCACTGATTTGCTTTGGACAAATGGATCGGGCTTGAATGTGGTGAAACTTATAGGACCCATGACGGGCCCAGCATAGTCTTTGAAAAGGAGATCTCCATAGTCTTTGGCTCAGCGCCCGGAAAAGGGAAGTTGGGACGCTTCCAGGTGGTCCGTTGTCAAAACGGCGACGGGCACGGGATGGGAAAGGGCCCGGAGTATGCCACAGCTGAGTCTGTGGAGGCTCTGAAGGCTGAGCTGAAGCAACAAGCCAACTCAGCATTAAAGAAGGACCAAGCTGCGAAAGCATGCGAAAAGAGGATTGAAAGCAATCAGAATAAGATCACCGAATTGCAGGTGACCTTTGATGAACAACAGACCAAATTGCAGGCACAGGAAGGTGCAGTGAAATCAATGCAGGAGCAGAATGCCAAGCTTCAGCAAGACTTGAACATTGAGACAGAGAAGCTTCAAAGCCTTCAGAGCGAGAATGAGGAGCTCAAGAAGGCCGTCTCAAGTGTTGAAGCCTTGGCAAAGCAAAACTACGAAGCATTGCAGGAGATGCAACGTCAGGCACGGGAAGAGCAGATGGAAGAGTTGAAGAAAGCTCGGGAGGATTTGCAGAAACATGCGTTGGAAGCAGCTCGCAAGGATGCCACTGAGGCCAAAGATGAAGCCAAAAAGGAATTGGAGGGAGCGAAAAAAGTCGTTCGTGGAGAGATGAGCCAAGGCCTCGAAAAGCTGGAGAAGAATCTCACCGAAAGCATGAAGGAGAGCTTCAATGCGCTTGACAAGAACGTGAGGGAAACGAGACTAGCGCTTGAGGCACAGTGTGATGCTGTGATGACAGAGACCAGGCAAAAGCAGGAGGCACTGGAGGAATCCTTGGGCGAGCGCATCAAGCGCGTGGAAGAGGAAACCCGAGAGCAAATGGAATTGCAGCGGGCCGAGGAGAAGAAGTTGCGAGAAGCACTGGAGGAGAGCCTCACAGCTGAGCTGAACAGCTTGGATTTGAAGTTCTCAGAGAGGCGTGGCATGTTCGTAGACGGTGCATGCGTGCGCGTAGATTCACTCCAAACTCACATGGACCCTGAGAGCATCCTGAAAGCTTGTTTTCCTTTACAGACCAGTGGGTTGTAGGGTCCATGCTAGTCTTCCATGGGTACGTTGGAAGGGCCTTTCGCCTTTCCTTCTAGGAGGAGCTGATGGGAGCCCGATCAGTCGATGACCGGTCTGTTGAGCCCCAACTGTTGGGCATCGCTCCGAACGGAGCGATCGGACGCTACGAACGTAGCTCCTGGCATTACTAGTAACAAGAAGTTGCTAGTAACATCCCTGATCTGTTTCCCCTGAAACTTTGAGTCACAACATAGCACTTAGCACCAGAATACTAGATCAAATCTATCCAGTCGAAGCGCTTCAGAACTCTAAACTGTGGATATCTATTGTTGTCTCATTTGGCTCGTGTTTCATCTACATTCATCTACTGCACTACTAGTACTGGAGAACCACAGCATGCACTGGCACTGTGTGCCACACTGGTCTCATGCACAGTGCGTGACATGTTGTGGTTACACGCTGTCAGGTGTGAGGATTTACTCGAGCGTCAGCTGAAGGACTGTGAGGACTTGCAAGAGCTCCGACGGGAGGCCGAGGCGCGCTCTGCGGCGGTGCTCGCTGAGGGCCGGGCCACCGCCAGTCTGCTGCAAGGCAGGGCCGGCAGGAACGGTAGGGCTGGGCTGGGGTGGCAAGATGCGCCTTGCACAAGGAAGGTCCATGTATGTCCACGTGGGTAGGAAGGTTTTAGACGGTTCTGCCTCCTGGACCAGAGTGGTGGACAGAATGTTTTGGCTCTTTCCATGTTTTCCATATCTTGCGATGCATTTGCCATCAGCCTCAGGTGAGACGATTCGGCTGAACAGCTTCTGTCGCGGGGTCTCTGGCCTGCCCACCAGGCAGGTGGAATGGCGGTTGCATGAAGATACCGTGAAGCAGTTAGAAAAGCTGCAAGAAATCCGTGAAGATACAAGTGATGATCCCGTCTTGTCGGGAGATGCACAGATCAGCTTCTTCTCTCCAGCCTTTGAGGCTGCGGGCACGAGCGGCTTACAATTAGAGCTGCGAGTGCACACCAAGAATGGAGCTGAACGCGGAGATGAAGAAGATGGCTCTGGCAATCAATGTTCCTTGTACTTATGGGCTTCTGCTGGCTTGCAGCTGGTCTTCCGCCTCTTCCTGGGAACTGAGTCCGTGATCCTGCGTCATAGCTTTGATGGCAAGACGCCTTGTGGCTTGAAGCGGATGGGCTCCATTCTGGAGCAAAAGTCAGTGGACGGCTCGCTTCGTTTGGGCATCGAGATCCATGAGTCTTTGGTGGAAAGTGTCGCTTCTGCTGGCAGTCACTCCAATCCAATGGCAGCAGCAGGAGAGCCACAAGGACCCGTGGATGGCACACTGTCAGTGCAGCGCTACCTGAACCACCGGTTGCTTGAATTGATGCAGTCACAAGGGCGGGCTTTCTTGGATCAGCTTCACAAAAAGGTGGATGTGATGCGCTCAAGGGCTGTCCGCCGTGTGCAGTGGCGCTTGGAGAATGGGCCTTTACTTTTTCAGACTTTTGCCAAAGAACAAGCTGTGCGAAGTACAGCCTTCCAAGCAGCTGGCATCAGTGGAATGCAACTGGTTTTCTATCCGCAAGGCTGTGCCGGTGCAAGGCCCGGCTTTTGCTCCTTCTTCTTGAGCTGTCCGCCCAACGTGACCTTGCGCTGCTGGCTTTGGGCGGGGCGATGGCGCCGCGAGGCGCGGCCAGAACCGGTGGAGCAGCCCGACTTGGTGGGGCGGGTAAACTTCGCTCGCTTTGAAAATATCATCGACCCGGTGGATGAATCCGTGGATTTGGTCCTCGAGATCGAAGAAGCTCAACAGACCTCAAAGGCTACCATGAGCAGCCAACCCGTTGCCTTGCCTTTGGAAGATTCTTCCTATGAGCGAAGTGAGATGAACAGGTCAGGGGTCACAGGAAATGGCACACAGTCAATGTCAGAAACTTCCAAGGATTTGGGTCGAATCGAGCGATCCGATGCAGCAACCACTAAGATCCAGCACCATGGCAAGCCCACAGATGGTGCCGTCCAACAACTTCCATCGATTTGGACGACGCAAGGCTTCTATAGCTTCAGAGACTTGGAAAGTTCAACCACAAGCACCACGAGCAACAAGAAAGCACCCCTCACACCGAGGTTGCCACAGGGCCAAGGCCAAGGTCGCACCAAACGGAAAGGAAATGTTGGAAACTCCGAACGACAAGTGGCCTCTGCAAGAGAAAGGTGATTCATTGTGCTTCTGCGAATTCGAAGATGTTCCTGATGTCCTTGCTAAGCAAGAGTCCGTAACCGCGAGACGCATGACAAAAGGCCTCATGTAGCTTCGCAAGAGATTCATGGAAGCCAGTACCAGGTTACCAGGCCTAGTATTTCGCCATCATTCTTTCAGCACAACCTTCGACAGACGACGTCTCACTGACGAGATCTTGGCAGGCCTTGGGCCAGCTGGAGCTGAAGATGCGGGCGGCTGAAGCTGAGATGCAGATCCAAGGCCCGGTCCAAGTGAACCAGGTGATCCAATTTTCTGAGCCACAAATAGCACATGTGGCACATGGCCAAGCAGCCATCGAACGACTGTGCTTGTTTTTGAAGTCCATTCAGAGTCAAATTCCCTCAAATTCGGACTCGGTCATCCATCTGGTAGCTTTTAGGTGTTCAAGATTTCAGTGTGATGGGCTTAATGGGGCGCCAGTCGAACCCTGAACCCTGCTGAACCCTGCTGGGTCTGCTCAAGTTTAGAGGCGGCTCGGGCAATGAGGCACGGCTTTGCAATGTTTTACATGGACAATCGACAGTCAAGACATGTCAAGACTCATGGACTCGTGGCCAACAATTCCAACTTGTGCAAAGTATCGCGAAACGCCGTGGTGCAATCGACTTGACGACACGCGAGCTTGGCCTGCAGCACAAGGATCAAGCCGCTGCCTTAGAGCAACTCATTTGCCCACGGTATTTGGTCCGATGGCGAAGCAAAAACTTGCTATCCCATTCGCAGAGGCTCCACCAGAAACTTTTTGCGTGGCCTTGCTTTTCTCATAGCTTCCCATTGATTTGTTGCAGGGTTATATATTAAGAATTGCCGTGGATGGTCTCTTGGGCAGGCGACCACATTCACGAGTGAGGATGGGGAGCAGCTACCTACGCTGCTCACACCAAGCCGCTCGAACGTTATAACGTTTGGACTGGGGATTGTCAGTGAGGGCAAGTATTGAATTATTTACAAAGGAAGCAGATCATCCGAATGTTCTGAGCGATGACCCGTAAATGAGGGATGGCCATTTTTGATTCAATGGTTGCGGGCAATGTTCCTCAGGAAAGCGGCAGCAGCTTTTGGATGAGAAGGCTGCAAAGAAAGGATTTGAAGAGAGGAAGACCAAATTGCAGGCTTGGGGGAAGGTGGACATTAGGCCTCAAGTAGCGAAAGGTAGATGAACCCCACAAGTGTCAAACCTTGAGCTTTTCCTCCTCACTTTGCGACAGAGTTTTCGTCAGGTTTTAGCATGCCACACCGCGTGGGTTGGAATCTGAATCCTCAAATCCTAACGAGCGAGCGTCCTTGTTCCTAGTAGCGATGTCCTTTGCTCCTAGTAGCGTCCTTGTTCCTAGTAGTAGTGCCAGGAGCTACTAGTAGCGTCCTTGTTCCTAGAGAATACCGGATGCTACTGTAACCGTAACTTGAGATTCCATATGAGCCATGCGTTCTTCAGCTCCCTACCCGTCGTTCTCTTTCGATTTTCGCTTTCCACAGGACCGACGTCCAGGATTCCGTGCGGAGCCGCTGACGCTACAGCCCGGGCTGAAGTTCTACTCGCCTCCCGTGCGAGAACTCAGAGCGGAAGAACTCTGAGCGAGCGGAATTTCGCGCGGTGGTTTGGCACCACGTGAGCCAATACCAGGTTCTCTCATGATTTGCCGCTTTGCCATGATTTGCCATGGTTCATTTATATTCATTCTTTACTGTACTTGGATATTCTCAAAGCTCATACCAGTCTGGCAAGCAAATGCAAGCAACACAATTATTCTTCGTCCGGCTCGAGGTTGAGGAAATACCGGACGTCCCTGACCCTGAGAGCCGCCGCCATCGAGCTGCCAAAGCCAAGGTGGATCAAGACTCGAAGACTCTGCCAAATGAACTCCAGAAAACACAAGACAACTGTGAAATGATGTGAAATGCCTTGGAGTCAACGCAGCTTGTAAGAATTTTCAAGATTTGCAAGGTATATAAATCAATGAATTTAAGTTGACTCGGTTGTTTGAATAAGACGGGTGTTGAAAAAAGCCTTTCCTTAGAAGCATTTTTGTGCCATTGTGCTTCTCAGCGGTGCGTGAGGAGAATTGGCCGTCAGAGTCTGCAAGCACTTCGACGTCAGCAGCTTCCCCCGGGGAACGCTCCATGTCATGAGCGTCACAGGCCCGAGCAGCGAGCAGCGAGCACACCGATGGGGCACAGTGGGGTGTTTTTGTGAACCGTAAAACCAAACCAATACATGTCACTTTGTAATACATTGTACTGGCATCCCGGTTAGAATTACGCAGCAGGCCTTGGACAAGGCATGTTATAGATATTATAGATATAAAACGCGGGGCTTCTACAACATCTATAGAACATGCACGGTGCTGAGAGAAGGGGTGCTATATAATGGAATGGGCGTGTATCTGAAATCAGTGCGCGAACAGTGACCTCTATAGAATGTGTTGCCCAAGCCAAACCAGGAACCAGTGAATTTCATGATGCCCCCTGAAAATGCTTTTTCAATAGAGTTAACGTTGTCGAGGTTGAAATTCACGGACCTTGAGGTTGGTTGGGCAGACCATTCTATAGAGAAATTGTGGTGTTTGAAGATTCACTCTCTCATCCGCTCCCGGGTTTTCATTTTTGTTTGACATGATTCTCTATAGAATGACCCCGCAAAAAAAGGTTCCCTCCATGTTCCTTCAAACAAATCTGCAAAATTGATCTACAATACGACTGTCTTTTAACCTTTCATAAAATGCATAGGGTCTCTCCAAACTCAAAAACCACCGTTCTATTAAACGACCTCCTGATTTTGGGCCTTAAGGCCTTGGATTTCATAGATACTGGCTAATGTGGTATCATTTTGTAATTTAATGCATTATTGAACAATGGTAGTTACAGCATCCCCACCCCCTTAACCACGGATTTGAGGTTTACATTTTCAGACCCCCTCCCCCCCCAAAAAATGTAACTTACCCCCCCCCAGGTACCCCAGTTGAGGTGCATGAAGGGGGGGAGGGGGTCTAAAAATGTAACATTATGTCTGCCAGGTCTATAGTTACATTTTCAGACCCCCCCTTACCAAAAAGAGGGGGGAGGGGGGGGGCCTGGAAATTGTAACTTGGACTATCGAGGCCTTTATGTTACATTTTACAGGCCCCCCCCCCTGTGCAGATGTGATCGTGACATACTGTCAGCAAAAAAGTGGACTGGGGGGGGTCTGGAAATTGTAACTTGGACTGCGGCTGACGGTTACATTTTACAGGCCACCCCATTGTGCAGATTTTCTCTCCATGTTCTGGCAGACTCGGTAGACCAGCCGCGAAATGCTGCAGATGTTTCTATGGGTGAAATTGCACGTACCCCAGGCCTGGACACACCTAAGTTACATTTTGTTGAGTCAGGTCCATACATGTGCCAACATGACCCAACTAATAAATGACAAGTATCTTCACACAACACCAAAACAGAACAAGACAACCAAAGCACACACCAGGTGGACAGGCTTGTGAATAGTTACATTTTTTGTGGTTCGCCTAACAAATGTAACTTACATTTTGTTAGGTCTATGTTAGGGGAAATGTAAGTTACAATTTTTCAGGTCCCCCCCAGAATGGGTAGGGATGTTACAGCTTGTCATCATGATTTACCGGTTAAATCCCAGTAGAATTGCCAGTATCGGTGTGATCATGTGCAACTATGTGTAAACTTGTGTAACCCATTGGCCTGAGTTTGAGAAACCCGCATATGACGTAGCCTGAAGTAGTTCTGTGCAACACAAGGATGAGGGGCCCTCACCAGCCAGTGTTGGAGACTTACTGTATCTTTTTTCCTACCAGTCACAGAGTCGCATGGCTGGAACCGATTGTTTTGGTTTTAATGCATATTCAGGTCGCTTCGCGACAACCGCCCGCACCGTTTGCTTCAAGATATAGCGCACGGATGCGTAAGGAAAGGCAATTCGTGTCCAAGCCAACACCCCATAACCGAATGAGCAGGACTCTAGATGTTGATTGTATGTGATTGTATAGGCGCTTCCCAGCACAGTTCATTTCTGCCGGCGCCCAAGAAGATGTTGAGATGAACTCCAAGGATGCAGACCAACCCAAGAGCAAAGCAGCCCAACCCAAGCCATCGGCTCCAGGTCCACCACCCAAGGACTCATGGCTCAAATCCGACCCGTGCCAACGGCAGCCCCCCCTGCCACTCAGGATGTATCGTGCTGCCGGAGTCCACGTCTGGATCGTGACAACAGACAAGAAGCCGAGTGTGCCTTCCTTTGCGTTGCAAATCAATGCCGACATCAGACATCGTCGAGATTCTTGTTCAAGAGATTGAGCCGGCTACTGCGCCAGCAAGGCGCAATGCAGGAAAAGGATCGCAGAAGGGAAAAGCCAAAGGTCCCGCAGAACCCGACACCGCCACGCCGTGGAATCCTTCGCTTGCCGTACCCACCTCTTTGCCCAAGATCGATGAGGTGCGCATCCAGAAGTTAGACGCATCCAAGATGCTCTCCGCCAGATCTTAGCCAACACCTATGGTCGGCCGAGAGACCCAAGCGGAGAGACTCCTCCGCCTAAGTATTGAAAGTAGTCGCGAAGATTTAGAGTGAGTGCTGCCGAAGCCGCATCGTCCGTGTCTGTCTTGCATTTCGTGGGCTTTGTGGATTTTCTTTCCGGTTTTGTCTGCATGTGCTTTCTCATGACGGGCTTTGGCTTTTGGCCTGCTCTCACCGTGTCCTCCTGGCTGTGGCCTGGCTTTTGAACTATTGATCGCCAGTCCAACCATCCTGGTTCGTCCTTTCTCAGTACCACAGGATGTCACTGGCGTCTATGACAAGCTTTTTGAAACCAAGCGGGTTGTCGCTGCATGGATCCAGGTCACCCCCAAGAAGTGTGCCCTCGTCTTTTCTGTGTACGCAACTGGGTGCTTCCCAGGACCCAAAACTACACGCTGCCAATAATGCTTTGTTTGATGACCTTACCCTTGTAGCGCAGTTTGGGAGGATCCCCGTTATCATTGCGGGTGATCTGCAGGCCCAACAGACTAGCTACCCTGCTTTGGCCTCTGCCATCAACTTCCAATCCTGGCATGACCCTATTTCCCAGGTTGGGAATGAAGGGGACATCCACATTTAGTAACGATGGTGCCTTTGCGGGTTATTGTGACGGTTGTACTTCAATTGACGCTGTACTTGTCAACGACATCGCATTGCGGCTCTTCGTGAAGCCCGTGTACTTGAATTTTTTGGTAGACAGCGCCGACCAATTCAGCTTACTTTTGAATGGGAATCCATCACCCAAATTGGTTTTCCTGTGATGAAGGCTGCCCCTCTCGATATTTCTCAGGTTCAGAAGCCATCGCCAGAACAGATGACCCTCTCTTGGGAGACAAATGGCCTGAGTGCTTTTTCGGGTACTGGTGATGTTGATGCGAAATGGTCTGTTGTGAACCAATACGTGCAAGAGGCGCTCCTCTCCAGGAGTTCTGAACCAGTTTTCGTTTCCAAAGTCATTGCTCCCAAGCAATTAGCCTCTAGATGTGCCATGAACTCAAAGAGTTTTGAGTGAGCTTTTCATTCGCCTCTCCCGGGCTTCAGGCTCAGCTCATGGATGGTTTTATCACACAACAAACGGCCATCAAAGCCCATGCAACTTTGTATAAATTAGAGCGGACTCTCACTGACATTTACTTTGCCAAACGCTGGGCTGAGACTGCCCTCAAGACTGCTGAAACCGAGACTCGAACCTCCCGTGTCAAGCGTTGGAAAACTCGCATTCGTGACTTCTTCCAAACATGGGCGCTCGTACATTTTCCAACGCCTGATAAACAAGCAGCAAGACGAGCCACCAAACCTCGTGGTTGACAGTAACGATAATATCAATGCTTTGGCCGATCATCCGCTCAAAATGCTGGAGACCATTTGGGCGTATATCTAAAATAAGACGGTCGAAGCTGAAATCCCTGAGATTTCCGGGCATGATTTGTTTCGCGTCGTCCAGAAACGCAAGCCTCATGCCGCACCGGGTCTCGGTGGCTGGCGTACATATGAGTTGCAGCTGTTGACACCTGGGGAGCTGCAGCCTTGTGCTGATTTCTTCCATTTGCTTGAGACATCCGAGCTTCCAATCCCCAAGTCCCTTGTCTGCACTAAGCAAGTGATTTTGAACAAGCCAGGGCCTGCTACCCCTCTTAATAGGCGGCGGCTCATCGCCATTTTACCCGCACTTGTGGAAAGCTTTGTCACTTGAGAAAACTCAGTGACTACAGCTTTGGCGGGGTGAAGAAATTCTCCGCTATATGTCATGACAAGCATGGCAGTTGGAAACATGTTTCACTTGAGAGATGACTCTCATAAGATCGCCGCGTAGGCGTTCGGCTCTGAGAAAAGTTTCACAAAGAAATGTAGAGGTGCATAGGTGAGTGTGTCCCCTCCCCTATGCATACATTTCCTCCTTACCTTTCAGTTCAGACATATCCTGGAACCGGTGTTTCCAGAAACACCGAGGGAACAATTTTTCTCTATGTTCACCCCGTCCTGGTCGTAAAAGGTTTGTCAACACCTGTCCACCCCAGCTGCATACATTAAAAAAAGTATATATTCTGACACCTTCTGTTGTAGAGTTAAACTCGGTCATCGTGTAAGTCTTGATGGCGCTCTTAATTTGAGAAGTTCTTCCAAGTATAGAATGTTTCCACAGGCAGTCCTTAACCAAGCATGCGGCAAGTGGGGAACTCCCGTCATGAGAAGAGCACTGGTCTTTTGCAATTCTGAGTCGTGCCCACTCGTATGTGCCAGGACATCTTGAAGTGATATCAACTGAGGGTGGCCCATCTACAGACGCACAACTTTTGGACTCATTCGATCGACTATTCCGCCGACTTTGGCCTATGTTCCAAAACAGCTGTGTCGAAAGGGTCTTGATCCTGACCCAAAAAGACCGTTCTATGGTTCTATGTTCGAACTGATGTTTCTATTGTTCATTCGCCTTCTATGATCCATTTGATGTGGTCTGCAGATGGATAGTCCGACCCGAATCAGCGTCTTTGCTTTTCCCAGCCGATTTAGGCTGATGCACATGTGAGACCAGCGATGTCACCGGCGCAGAATCGATGGCCGGGCTTCTTTGAATGCCAAGATGATAACTGATTTTCTTTGATAACTTTTGAGAATTGACATTTGACGTGATGATCCAAGATGTATAATGACACCATAAGTCAGGCCAGAGGGTTCAGCCAACCTGTGTGAAAAGCGGTCCTTGCCTCGTTTGTTGGTGTACCTGCGCTGTCTCCAGCCTAAGGGCAGCTGGAACATGTCGAATTGAGTCTCACATCGGAACCTGCGTGAAAGTGCGACATGCTCCGCTGTTGAAGGCTTTGCTCTGCTCGCACTGCCTTGCAAAGTTCAAACACTCGGAAAAGCACTCGTCGTGGATGTGAAGACCAATACTCAGCAAACGCACATTTGTTGAAGAATAAAACAAGGTGACAATTCTGCGAGAAAACCTGCATTAATTCTGCGTATCCTGCATTGACGAGTGTCAACGAGTGCCAGAAAAGTCCGTAAAGGACCCACTCGTAATTCGCACACCTTATGATTCGGACAGCCAAGGGTGCTGCCAATGAGCGCCCCAGAAGCAGGAGGTGACAACTGTGATAGCAGTTGTATCCAGATGTGATGAGCCAGCCATGATCAGATTACTCACAGACGACAGACATGGATCGCCCCCCCCCAAAGCCTCCAGACCAAGTATTATGCGTTTACGCCGTGATGACCATCCGGTTTCCGCCGGCCTCCTGTGCTCCGAAGCTGGATAGAGGTGGCCTGCACGCAAGAGGCAGGCACTCTCCAGAGTGAAGATTTCGGTGGTGGAACCACATCATGACTTTTTAGAAGAAAACCATCATGGAACAAAGCTGTGATTGATTAGCCAACAGAGCTGGTAACAGCAGGCTGAATGCTAGTAGGTGGGCCACCAATGCTCTTGGCCACTACTTCCAGCTTCCTTTCAAAGGTTCTTTTTGCATGGTGTCTCATGGAAGCATAGTGGTACATTAGGGGGACAGAATGGCCTCCATATCATCCCTATCCTTTTCTTGCAGAGCATGTTCATGGCGGACATGCTGGTGAACATCTTAACATGTTGGTGAACATCATGGACAGATGTGAACAAAACACTCCGTGTCCACCATCTTCACTTGACCGACCCGTGTAATTCGCACTGGCCTATGGGCGATGAATTTCAGCCCGTCGGCACACGTTCGGCCTTTGTCCCGACCAATGCTTGGATGCATTTCGCCACTGGTTGGCTCTTACAAGAGCTGTTCAAGCTGTTCAAGTCGTTCCGGACCTTCCCAACGGCTCCTGCCCTGGGAAAGCCTCCAAGGAATGCGCACAGTCGGCTTGGCGACAGGTTCAAAATCTTGGCCGGTGAATCCAAGAGTCAGATAATTACTGTGAATATTTGTGAATCGTTCTAACATTAGGTTATGTCCGAATGCATCGAGATAGTGTCCTCTTCAACCCGTCCGGTCTGCGTCAGCTCCCTAAGAATCTAAGAAGCAAATCATTAATGCGAGCGCTTGTTCAAGGAAGCACCTCCCCACTGCCTTTAGGGCGGTGGGCGGAGCTTCCTTGAAGAAGCGTGAACTATCCTGCGTCCAGTTGCTAGAAGCTAACTAGTCCCCCTGAGCTTACTCCCTTACTTAACTTAATTGAGTAGGCACCTACTTACTTAAGCAAGGGTGGGCCAAAAAGGAATAAGCTTTATCTGCACAGTTTTGGATGTGCCACAGCTGACGCATTTCGGGTGGAAGTTTTTCTTCACCTTCAGACGGCCAGGAGTGGAGAAATCTTCTTCAGCATTGGCAGACTCTTCAGAAAGACATCACGAAGGCAGGATGTGACCGTTGCATGTCGACGCGTGTAGAATTGGATGGCAGACCAATTGAGATGATTTCACCTGTCAGGCACATGCGCAAGCTGCAGAGCAAGAGCAGAATCTGCTGCAAGGACAGCGACACGAGGATTTGTTTGCTTCTCCTCTGAAAAGCAACTTGCCCTCTAAACGACACTTTCAGTCAGCTGAGTCAGCAGTGTTTGGGGCAACTCATGATTCGTTTCATGGACATTCTTCAACTAGCCTTATTATTATACCTTCTGTATTCGGGATCTGAGGGCCTGGATATGGGGGCTATACCCAGACAACAACACTTTCAGCTATATCTGTACATGAAACAGATCTTTCCTGTGCTCATGCGGACAACTTCGCCCCTTCTTGCTAAAGTGAACAGGCAAAAGGAACCCAATCGGATCTCCTGAATCAATAAAAGAAAAGAACACAGCGAAAGAAACAACAGCACAAGGGAAAACACTGAGAGTTGGCAGACTTTATATCTTTCTATATCTTTTGTTTCCTAAAGATGCAACCCTTCCAGCGATTTCAGTACTTGTCTTGACGTCTTGACTGCATCCACTCAATGATCACACACAGAGACATTTCTCCATCAAAACCCATCGAAAAGACCTGACAGGATGCGAAGGGGATGATTTGGCAGTCTCAGAGGACCAGAGGGAAGCCGTCGACAAGGACACTGTTGAGCTATGTGAGTAACATGTTGAACGCATCGGTGGGTCTTTACTCTTTCGTTTGCTGCACGAATGCTCATGCATGAATCTGTGATATGCACCTGCAGCCACTGCATGCGAGAGTTCATACTGTCTTATTCGCTCGGTAGAAGGAACTTCCAACCTGCATAGACTTTAACTGCGTTGACATGAGGCCGCCACAAGTCGGGTAAACTTAGCTCCCTCATGCTCCCACTATCAATCAGGTGCACCCAACCGTGCAGCTTTCACTCTGTATCACTTTGTGCGACCTGTTTTCAGACTCTTGGGGACTTGACAGTAGTGGTGACTTGAAAAGAAAGGGAAGGATAACCCAATAATCCTATCACCCACATTCCCCTCTTAAAAGGGCAGCGCTTGGAACGATGGCGTGTGCTTTGCGGGTTCCACGTCTGTTTCAGCCACTTGGCAAGCCTTGGTAATTGGCATCCTGTGATGTGTGATGTCGTCCTTGTGCCCTCCTTTGAGCATTTCGTTTGGTTTGCGTTTGTTGAAACTGGGCGGTTCAGCAGGCGATGTACCTTGCGGCCGCTTTGCAGCCCCACCCGATGCCTCTCGGGAATGCTTGATCCCATCAAGCAGAACAGGCTCTGATCATTCCTGATGTCATGTTTGCTTATGTGTAATGATGTCAGGATGGTTTCTTTCTTCGAGCCAGAGCATTTTTGTAGGAACTTTTTAGCTGAAAGTTCGTCAGGTTGGAAGCAGACGAGGACTTTACTTATTCCTTTGTAGCCATTTGCGAGTGAAGGGCGGCCCGGCTTGGTACTAATTTTGCAATCTCGTTCTCTGCTCGGTTTTGCTGGCAAGATGCATCATTGGATTGAGCAGGACTCAAAGATTTCCAGCATCGTTATTGGTGAGTGGCATTACCAGCCTTCGACCTTTGGCATCAAACGAGAATCTCATGTGCAGTCATGGCAGTCATGCATTGTTTGCTGGTAAGTTATACTGTATATATATGTTGATTTCGACTGTGCCGTGTCGATCGTGGAACGATCATCGCATGTCGCAGGGACTTTAATGCCCGAGCGTATGAGGAGAAAAGGCCTGCGTGGACCGCAGGGAAGGCTGGGCTACCAACATTGGTAGCGGAGCAGGTACAAATCCTGTCTCCTGCTCCTTGGTTCGCTGGAAGCGGGCCGGAGCGTTCGACTGTGCCGTTAGGTTGCCATGGAGGCTGGAACCTCGCTCCGATACTTTTCGGGGGAGGACAGTGACCACCGTGAATATCGACGGTGGAAACAGTGGGTGGTCAACAAGATGCGAACAATGGATAAACTGGATGAGGCTGCACGTGGCTCGTTCATTTGGACTCTCCTGTCAGGCAAAGCGCTGGAAGTGGTGGAGCATTTGAAGGAAGAAGATTACCAGGTGAAGGGCGGTGATTCTGTCATCTTCAAGCTCCTTGACAGGCGATGGCCTGAGCTGGATCGCACGGACGAGATCGGCGAGAACATCGCTGAAGTGTTCGCTCTCCGGGCAAAAGAAGGAGAGACTTTGCGTCAGTGGTGCGCCCGTGCTCGTGAGTGCTTCGACAAATGCGCTCGCAAGACTGGCGTAAAATTCCCAGAAGAGGCCCAAGGATGGATCCTGCTGAACCAGTCCGGTATGGCTGAAGCCGATCGTGCTATCTGCCTAGCACGAGCCCAAGGCGATCTGAAGTTCGATACGCTGTCACAGGCCATGAGGTCTTGCTTCCCGGACTATGTCATGCCGAAGCGTCGTACAGTGGGGGCCCATGTTGTGGAAGAAGCGGGTTCCGGTCCCGTTGAGCCGGAGGATTCATTGCAAGACATTGAGCTGTTTCTGGCTGAGCACGGCTATGAAGAGTCAGGTGAGCCTCACCTGACGGGTGAAGAGTTGGATGAAGAGGACACCGCTGAGATCTTGGCCACGACCTGGAAGGAGCGACGCTCCGAGTTGAACCAAGTTCAAAAGGGCCGAAGGTTCATTGCTTCTGACACCCGCCGTGGCCAGACTGCTGGTGGTAAGGACTTCAAGCGGTCCTTCCGTGTTCAAGTCGAAGAGCTGAAGCAACGTACCCGGTGCCGACGATGTGGTAAGCTGGGACATTGGCAGCGTGAGTGCAAGTCGCAACCTGCTAGTGCTTCAACGACATCCACCAGTCATGCAGCCAGCGCCGTCCAGGTAGTGGATAGCCCAGCAGAGCACTTTGTGTGTACTGCAGCTCTTTGTCCGGAGCTGCCCAATGAGGTCTTGTTGGTGAGCAGTCCAGGGTTCGCCATCCTGGACAGTGGCTGTGGGAAGACAATCATTGGTCATGACACCCTCGAGTCCTTTAAGAAGATCTGGGCTCGACGTGGCATTCCTGAGCCACCCCTTCGAAAGGAATCCAACCAGTTCCGATTCGGGAACGGTGAGCTGGAGGTGAGTTCTCATATGATCGATCTCCCAGTGGTCTTAGTTGGACGCCCTGGTTTTGTGAAAGCTGCTATCGTGAAGGGATCAGCCCCGCTGCTCCTGTCAAGGCCAGCAATGAAGACCTTGGGCGCCTCCATGAACTTCGGAGAAGACAAGCTGACCTTGTTTTCTGACCGGGTTGAGATTCCGTTGGAGGTGAACGCCGCAGGACAGTATGCTGTGAATGTGTCGGCCTTTCCGAAGAATGCCGCCGAATTGTTTCCGCAGCCTGTTTTGAAGCCAGTGCACGACTCCGTTGAGCCTGCAGCTCAACCATGCCACTCGGTCGCTTTCAATCGTCAACATGCCCGTAAGAAGGATTTTTGGGAGTTGAAGCCCCGTGAACGTTTGGTCATTCGTCATCATCTTAAACCCCGGGAAAGGTTGTTTACCCCGCAGAGCACACAATGCCCCGTTGATGTCGAAATGCTTCAACCGGAGCGGACAACCCAGTTCGATACTCCGCCGCCGTTGCCTTGGGACCATCGGGATTCATGGTTTGAGCCTGACACTGCACATGCTGTACTCGGTGAACAACCATGGACGGGGAGAACCGTCTTTCGACTCCGATCCGATGCCGTCCTGCCGTCGATTGCTTATGCCCAGGAGGAGATCGAGCAGCTTCATGTCACTAAGTGGACTGCCAAGCAGCACCGACAGTTGATGGCACAAGTCAAGGTGCCCAAGCGGGAGGACCAGGTGTCGCATGATAGGTATCATGTCATTGAGGTGTTCTCTCCACCACGGTTCGCCTTAGAGGGTGCAACTCGAGGGTATCGTGTTCTGTCAGCTGACCTTAGCACGGGATGGGACTTTCGTCGGAAGAGTGATCGTGAAAACATGTTGACACTTGTTCGAACCAATCCACCTGACTTGCTAGTGTCGTGCCCGCCATGCACGTGGGCAGGGGGCTGGTGGCACCTCAATCGTTTGCACATGGATCCAAACGAGGTGCGACTCAGGGAAACATGGACTCAGCTGTTCGTGCGCTTCTGTTGCCAGCTGATAGAAATCCAACTAGTGTCGGGAGGTAGGTGCCTGTTCGAACACCCTCAAGACTCCATTGCTTGGAAGATGCCATGTATGGAAAAGCTTCAATCACGATTGCATTCCGTGTTCGTAGACATGTGCTGTTACGGCCTTCGTGTTCCAGGCGGCTCTCTGATCCGCAAAGCCACTAGGTTAGCAGTTTCTCATGCCGACATGAGATGCCTAGGTAAGAAATGCCCTGGTCCCACTCACACGGATCACCAACATCACCAGAGCATAGCCGGAAGTTGGCCAAAGATAGGTTCCATCAGCAAATTTGCAGCAAAATACACACCGGCATTTGTCAGAGCCGTCCTTCGTGTGACCAAGGGACTTCCTAAGACAGTTGGCCTGGTGGTCCAATCAGATTGTTCCACCGAATGCCTAGTAGCTCACACGCTTGAGGACCTGAATCAAGAAGACAATGAAGCCAAGATCAAAGACAGCCTTCGTCGACTGCATAATAACCTTGGTCATCCTACAAATCAACAGCTTATAAGAGTCCTCAAGCATGGGGGCGCATCCGTGGCCGCTCTGGAAGCGGCACATCGGTTCTCGTGTGACCTGTGTCTCGCCCAGAAGACACCCAAGGTAGCCTTGCCTGCTCAGGTCCATCGAACTGTGGAGTTTAATGCTGTTGTTGGGATTGACGTCAAGTATTTGCCTGGGTGGGAGACCAATCAAAAGGTTCCAGCCCTCAACATTGTCGACCAAGCCAGTTCTTTGCAAATCATGGTCCCAGTGTTCAAGCGTGAGACATCCGATATCATCAAGCAAGCGTTCATGGAACGATGGGTGTCTTGGGCAGGTATGCCACAAGAGATTGTGTGTGACCCGGCACGCGCCAACGTGGCCGATGCGTTCACTGCCGTGCTTGAGCAGGGAGGAGCAAGTTTCAAGCTGACTGCTGGCGATGCACACTGGCAGCTAGGTAAGACTGAGGTTCACGGGGGTTGGTTTAGCAGAGTGCTCACCAAGATTTTGTCCGAACATGCACCCCGAAACCAAACTGAATGGCTTGACTGTGTAAATGCAGCTCACTGTAAAAATCAGTTAATCCAGGTGTATGGTATGACGCCATCTCAGTTCGTGTTTGGGAAGAACCCTAGAGTGCCTGAGAACTTGCTTGATGAACCTCTAGAGATCGTACCTGCCACCTCGGCCTTGTATGACGAAGCTGTTGCCAAGCAAGTTGCAATCCGACAAACTGCTCGAAAAGCAGTGCTCGATTTGCAAGATAGCAAGGCGCTTCGCCAAGCCTTGGCCGCCCGGCCTCGTGTGCATCACACCTATAGTCCTGGAACCCATGTCGCCTACTGGCGATCACAAAAGTGGGTTCATGGTTCCTTGGATAAGACTGGAAGATGGTGTGGTCCGGCACTCGTGTTGGGTTATGTGGGTCGTAACCTAGTGATCATCCATAAAAGACAGATTTTCCGGTGCGCCCCAGAGCAAATTCGCCCATCTACTCAGGATGAACTCAAGCTGACCGAAACTCCCCATATGGAA